GAGTTTCTAGCATAAACAAATTATTTCCTAATTGAGATTTGGCTTCATAAGGATTAAACAAATATTAAAATATCTGGAAAGACGTGTAATTCAGTATGCATAAAAGTAGTGTATATACACATTGCATCAACTTAGCATCATAGCTCAACATTATGGGTCATCTCACAGTACTAGCACTGTTGCGACAGTGCTTTGGTGTACCAACCTTTGGACCAAAATCTACATGTACAGTACAGTACAAACTCAGATATCCCTTTCAACCATAGTGAACACTTCAAGCTGCCTTTATACTGAGTCAAATCATTGGTCTATCAAGAACAATATTGTCTACTCTGACTGGCAGCAGGTCTCCAGGATCTGAGATAGAGGTCTTTCGTATCACCTAGTCCCTGAGGCTCTTTACTGGAGATTTAACCTCAAACCTTCGACATGCAAAGCAGATGCTCTGCCACTGAACCACAGCCCCATCCCACACTGATGTATGTATTCCCCCCATCTCATAATCGTAGAGGAAACAGTGACTGGCACATGTATCCAGTTATGCTATCCAGTCTCTTGCATTTCATATTTCACATGGAGGTTCAGAATGTCCAATGAAAATGTCAGAAAACTATATTTCTAATGTTTCATTGCATGACTTAAGTTGTTTTGTATGAACAGTCATTTACATATGTGTCAGAACACCATAATATCCCTAGTTGGTACTTATTTCAATGGAGTCTTTGTGCAAGACAGGTTTTTGTGGATTTACTGAGGTTCATGTGCCAGGTGTTGGTAAAAGAGTCATGGTGGAATATATATAGAAGTGGACGTGGGAAGTATATCTCTGACCTGGATAGCCCAGGCTAGCCTAATCTCGTCATATGTTGGAAGCTAAGCAGGGTCGGCCCTGGCTAGTTTTTGGATGGGAGACCACCAAGGAATACCAGGATTATGACATTGAGGCAGGCAATGGCAAACCACCTCTGAACGCCTGTTGCCTTGAAAACCCTATAAACTCTATGACTTGACAAAAAAAATATAGGTACATAAATAAATCATGGATAAATATGCAGAACCTACAAATATGCACATCCTACAAGAGTTCAAAATGTACTGTCTGTCTGACTCTAGACATTCAGGGTTTAATTATTGATAGGTACATAAGCCCTAATGGATCAGACCAGTGGTCCATCTAATCCAGCACAGAGATGTAAAATTTTAGGAATGTTTGGGGTGGGGAAAAACAAATGTTGGGGAAAATTTAAATATATGCAATACTTACTTTCCTTTCAAACCGAAGTATCTTTTATGGATCTAGCAACATAAAATGCAAATAGACCCAATAAAAATAGACCCAATTAAAAATGTGAGAAAGAGTTGCAAAAGGGAAGAAAAATAAAAATTGAAGGTAGAAAACAAATTATGTAGTAAACAAAACAAATAATTGAAAACACTGAACTCCTTTAGTAATGCATTATATCTAATTCTGTCTTACATAATGGGGAATTTCAGACAGGCGATAGATTCCGGAAGGGAACCGGTTCTCAAACAGGTTCTGGTCTGTCATTTCAGACAGAACCCGTTTGAGAACCGGTTCCCTTCCGGAATCTATTTTCCATTTCATACACAAACGCTTCAGTCCCGTTTAGGAACCGGGACTGAAGCGTTTTACCTGTCATCCACTTCCAAGTGGTCTCCAGTGCCCTCTCCCGGTTCCGATACGCTTTTTCCCCACCTTTTTTCGCCCGCGTGGGCGATCTCCGGCTGTTTTTTTTTTGAATGTCCGATTTATAGCATTATAGCGCTATAGCGCTATAACGGAATAGCATTATATCAGTCCCATTGGAATGCATGGAGTGTTTTGTTATACTGCTATAGCGCTATAAATTGAACATTTAAAAAATCGATCACCCGCGCGGGAGGAAAACGGCGGGAAAACAAAGCGGTGCAAGTCTGAAATGCCAAACCGCTTCTGATCCGGCTCCTTTCCGGTAGGGGCAAGCCCTGTGTGAAATGGCAGCCCTGTACCGGTTCACTTCAAAACAGATGATTGCCGGCTTGAAACTGGGTGAAACTGGGTAATGTGAAATTCCCCATAGTTTTACTAAAAAAATTCATTGTACTCATTTTAAGTAAAAACCTCATCTTTCATTTCATTTCATACATTTCCTCCCCCAAAGCATTTTTTCCAGTGTTCTGCAAATTTCCCCAATTTTTCCATTGGAAAAACTGAAAACGTTCTCAGAGGTCTTCATGCTATCTATTTTAAGTATGAAAATCCTTGCCATAAGAAGCATTCTACTTATTCTAAAACGGAAAATATTTCATGGGATTTTTTTCAGTCCTTCCCCAAATGTCTCAGTTTTTCCATTTGAAATATTTTTTGGGGGGTCCCTTGGGGGAAAATGTGGGGGAAAATATAATTTCCCCAGTTTTTCTTGTGTTTTCCCCCCTGGGCCTTCACATCTCTAGTCCAGCATCCTGTTTCACACAGTAGTCATCTAAAAATGAACTGAGGCCAACAAGGCAAACCCTGATGGTGCCTCATAGTGAAGTTTGCTACCTTTATATGGGGATGTTCTGTTTCCTCACCATGGCTAGTAGCAATTCATGGAATTCTCCACCATTAGTTTGTCTAATTCCTTCTTAAAACCACAGGTCAATAAATTAGTTTGTGCCAGGATGTGAAAACTAACTTGGTAGGTGGATAGCACTTGTGCGTGCAAAACTAATGTCCAGTATAAGATGCACATCAGTCTCCTAACTAGTAAAAGACTTTGCTTAACGAGTTCTCTGTCTCTGAAGCATAACTATATGGTGACAGGATTTGCAAAATTATTCACTCAGTACTCAGTTGTAATTGTTGTTAGGGAAAATGATGAGGATGGATAGTTGTTTTCTTCTTGCAGAGACTCCACCCTCTCTGGGTAAGCTGCCTTTATCCCCTGCCTGCCTTTAGCATATTTCCTGTTTGCAGGGTTAGCAAGCACATGGGAGTTATGTTCTTAACTGATTATTGGTTACATTCATTCAAGTTAAGGGCCTATGTCCAACCGTGCAGGGCCCTTAAGAGATGGAGGCATGTTCTGCTGATTTTCCCTTCCCAATACAGGCCAGTGGAACCCCCCTCCCACAATTTTTGTTCCTGGGAATCCTTGGATCGTTTGGAACATCCTAGTGGAGGTCTGCAGTGGTAATGGGGAACTGGCCACAATTGCTTCCTCCTCTTAGGAAAATTTATGCTCTTTATGTTACATTGGACACACGTTGACGCTGAAAATGGCATCCCTGTGTTGAGTTCTCCCCCACTTTGTTATACACAACAATGTTGTGACATCATTTATTAGTGATAAGATATTCCCTGTCCAATGTTCCCTCTAAGATGTGGAGTCTTGTGAGCAAAAATTCTGCTTTGTGAGCTACTGGCATTAAAGTTGTGAGCGAGCAATTTGGCTATTGCATAAATCAGTTTGCTCTGGAGCCATCCTTCCTGAGCTAAGACAAAAAGGTGTGTGCCAGAGGCTAAAAAACTGTGAGCAAGCTCACACCAACTCAGCTTAGAGGGAACACTGGCCCTGTCCTTGATAGGCCAGGCTAGCCCAATCTCAACAGATCTTGGAAGCTAAGCAGGGTCTGATCCCCTGATCAGTATTTGCGTGGGAGACTACCAAGGAATAACCATGGTTGCAATGCAGAGGCCAGCAATGGCAAACCATTCCTGGACATCTCTTGCCTTAAAAACCCTACAGGGTTGCCAAAAGTCGGCTGTGATTTGATGACCCCGCCAAAAGGTATTACTGGTTCTTCCAGTAACCTTGAGAAATCTAGGAAGGTGTTTTCATCCACCAAGCTTTTTTGTAAAATTATTGTAGCTAATTATATTTTGACAGTCATAATGGGGAGGAAGGAGAAAGAAGTACTGGGTATGTTTAGTTAAGAAGGTAAAAAAAAATCCAGTCAAATGTTGGTAATTTAATGCCAGTTTTCATTGGTGCTATTCTGGCAGGCAGTTTTACTCGTGTTTCTTCTCTGTATGACCAAAAACCAATTGCTTTACTAAAACATTCCTTTAACTGGTAAGCATCTCTGTTATGGAGCAACTTTGAAACTTGCTATGGCACAACAAGGTTGGAATCTTGTGGGGTTATATGTAGGAAGTTGTTGTATTGCTCTGTCTGAATAGGGATGAATGTCCAGAAAGGGCTGGACTAAGTGATCTTTAGGTATTCCTCAAATCAGTATTTGAATATTTTTTGTATGTTTATTTTACTTCCCATGCCCTTCGAGAAGTTATGTTTTATTACTGCTTCATGGGCATCTTTGGTAATACTTCTCTTTCGGGACTGATGGAACTGTTTCTCCAGAAAAATAAAAGATGCAACTTTTTATAATAAATTTAGGTAGAACTGTTAAGCATTTTTGTGCAATTGTTTTTCCCAGGAAAGATATATAATTATGCGCCATGATTTTTATCTTAACTTGATACAGCTTCCTGGTTCTCAGAGAAATTTGGCAATGGTTTCTTTTTATTGTGGGTGAACGTTTATACTTAATTTAAATGTCCTTAGGTTTGGTTTCTCTTGAGAGGAAAATATAATGCAATCCAAATATTTCTAGCGATCTGATGATCAAAGGGAGGGGGGGAGTATTTTGCTTGGTAGAGTGCCTTTTATTGTTTTCAGGTAGAGTGTTTCCACATCTCAGGTAGAACAATTTCTGTCTTATATTTTGCAAGTCACATACTTCACCTGGGTTGGTTTTGGTCACGTGAACAGGCATGTTTACCGGTGATCTCAGTGCTCCACCTGCCTTTCAGTTTGTTTACCAGGAAATCAAGATGTGTAAACTGCAGGAAGTACTATTTGACCCTCTCCGGCAGTATCTCATTACAATAATTGCTAATCTCTGAATAAGACAGCCATGTTTTGTGAGTAACACAGGGAGAGAGAGAGGTTGAGTTAAGGGAGATTTTTAGGTGTTTACACAAATAGAGCGTTCTGAATGCTTGCCTTGGATTATGCCTTCTTGATAGCTTTTGATAATAGACATCTGCTGACCTCTGGGGTCAGTGAAGCTGGGACACAGTAATATGTGTTCTTTCATTCCTCTTAACTGAGAGAAAGAAATATCACGGCTTGTTGTTCTGGAGTGCTGTCACTGTGCTGTATCGAAAGGATAATGGCTACTTCCTGATTAAACCACTATCCACAGTAAGCTCTTCGTATCACATCTCTGTTTGCCTTTGAAGGGAAGAGTGCTTAATGTTTTTCTTTTAAAAAAATTTAACAAGGGAAATGTCAGTTTAAAATGTTTATGGGATATGGGTTAAAAGCTTACCTACAACAGGAGATTTCCTCTGTTTTAACTTCTTCAAGTAAGGGAACTGTTTGTTATCTTTAATTCTTAAACATTGGGGGGAAATGTTTCAATGTGTACATGTCTGGATTTTCATCTATGCTTAGTGTTTAAAATCTGTTTTACAGCTTGTGTGTGAACTATATTGAGCATTTGAGCTATATTCTTCACATGAGCATTTTTAGATACTAAGTTCTGTCGTCATCCATGGGAAAAATGTGGATCTATTACAGTCCTGGGTGAAAAGCACTATCAGTTGTAAAAATTAGATTTGATTAGTATTTTTTATCATCATACTAATTCTTACGTAGCTAATGTTATATTGTATAAGTACAGATTTTGGAAAAAGTAGGATGGAATGAATACAAAATTTAAGTTTTGTCCCCAAGACGTCATAACTACTATTACTCTGTGAACATTGGGTGCAATCTAGTCAAAGTTTTAATTTTAACTTAACATGTTAATGGTTTCAATAGGACAGCACTGAGAATTCAGGTTCATCAATAGGACCTCTACTTTGGTTGGATCGTGCCCACAATGTAACACTGTAAAATGTATATGCATGAAGTCAGAGTATTGAATGTCAATTCTTTTTTGCCCACTTTGAACCAAACTAAAGTTGATGGATTTACTAGAACAAAAAGGGTACGTTGTACTAAACAGGACATACTTTGCCACTGAGGATACCGTACATTATATTCATCAGATGAAAAATAATAACATTTTCTTATTACTTAACTAAATGTGTAATCCTGATGATGCTTTCCTAGAGGTAATACCCATTGAATAGCATGGGACTTGCTTCTGAGTTGACTGCTTGGGATTGCTCCCTGAGAGTGTAATACAGTGGATGCATACTAAGAAATAAACACTTTTAAACTCAGTGAAACAGCTTCTCCATACAAATGGCTGTAAGTTCTCAAAGGATAAAGATGTAAGTTCTTATAGGATGCAGTCCTAAGAATGGTTTGCTGGGGGGAAGCCCTATTAAATAAAATGTTGAGGATTGCTCCCATCGATTGCCAAATTTGATGGATCAGAAGTAAGTAGGGCCATTTTATGTGTACTTCAGCTCCTGATTTGGTAAAATGAATGAGAGGCAAATCACAGGAGGTGCTGAGGGACTGTGTATTACAGGAAGGCTCCAAGACTAAATGTGCCCAGTGGATTTGGGATAGTCTCACTCTGCTTCACATGCATCTACAAGAAATATTTTTTTTACAAATAGAGGTTGGTAATTATACTTAAGCGTATACCACAATACTACCTATATCCAGCATCTGCTAATGAATTAAATCTTGAATGGGGGGAAATTGTATAATATTCAGTATGGTTCCAAAGTCCAGGGTGTGCTAACCATTACACTGTGGAGCCTAGACACAGGAGTAGGAATATGACTTAAATCCAACCCACTATTAGTAGAGCTCTGCTCCTAGGAATGGCTTTCCTGCTTCTCCTTTCATGTGTCTCCAGAGGAGGCACTCCTGAGGACTGCGTGATCCTTGTGAATGGTAGAGAACGTGGTTCCAGGGGTTGCAATGAGATGGAGGTATGGATAGACATTTTCAGTCCCTTCCACTACATGGTTAAAGTCCTTTGTGCTTCCGCAAGGATCCAAGCCTGAGTATTTAAAGATGTTAACTTCTTTAAGTTTTTCCTCCCCCCCCCAGCTGAGGTGGTTTTCCAAATATGTTACGAACCATGAGCCTTAACTTTTGTTTGCTACCATATTTGTTTATGAGAATAGGCATATACCGCACCAGTGGAATCCAGCCACTAGGTCCTATAAATTGCTGTATTAATATTTTCATACAAATTATGAACTGGATTTATAAAGAAGGCTTAATAAAGTCATATGACAATTTCCTGTGATAGCATCCTTTGGTAAATATTGTTTGATGAATTTGATGAATATTGTTTTTGATTAATATTGCTGGTGTTATCTGGTTTGTAGTAAGAAATGTTTACAGTTGATAGCCTGGGATAGTTGTTATTGTTTGAGACTGATCTCCACCCATGGCAGCACTTGCAAAGGGACACTGCGTTCTAAGTTGTTCCCCATTCACAAGCTCTTAATTGGGTAAAGAAATTAGAATCCTTGTACCATTATCGTTAATCTGAACAGAAAAGGAAAAAGTTTTTAAAAATCAGAATGCTGACTCTTGATTGTCAAGGATTGCCAGGAGGAGTGACCAGGAGGACAAAATTCGGGGAGGGGGGGGCACAGAGTCAGGCAAGTCATGTGATTTGTTTTCACATGTTGTTTGCCTTGGTGTTATGAAGGGAGGTCATGATGGTTCTCAGTAGCCTTGGACAGGGATGGACCAGAAGATCAGCTATAACCCGCCCTCCAAGTTTCTAGATGTGTTATTCTTAAAATATGTTACGAACCTATCTAAACCTGCTCCCTTGTTCTTTAAACTGCTTGTCCCGTAGCCAAGGACAAGCATGAATACTTCAGGGGAAACTCTTTCTCCCTGCTTATTTTACATTGTGGATGCTTGGGCTGTTTTCTTCAAACAGTGTGATATACTAACAGTGCAATCCTAAATAGAGTCATATCCTTCTAAGCCCATTCATTGGATTTAGAAGGGTATAACTCTGTTTAGGTTTGCACTGTGACAGGGCTTTAAAATGTGTAGTCTGTGGCGGTAGTTCCCAACTGCCAGGTCATGACATCTCTCTGGGTGGTTCACCAGGCCCTTGGAAGTGGGCTTATAAATCAGCATGCCAGGAAAAATTTAAGTTGGGTGTGTGATTTCAAGGCTTATGAATGGAGCCAACAAATGGCTCCTGAAGGGCAGCAACTTTCAATAGATGGGTCCTCTCAATCAACCATTTCAGGACTGGTGATGAGGACATTTGAAGCTGCTCTCACAGCTTCTGAACAATAAAGAACAAGGGAGAATATTCACTGGAATTAATACTAGTAACCCTTGGACTGGTGAAGTAGACTGCTAGAGAGGCTGAACCATTGAACCGCTTACTCTAGATAATAAAATTCAGGAGATTGGAATGCCCAATAAGCAGAGTGAAGTAGATTAATTCGTCTCTTACATGCCTCTACCCAGCACTTCAAGTGTTTCTTCTGAAAAGGACAGAAGTTCCAGAGAACTGGGATGGTCTTGACTATTAGATCAGTCTGAATTCCTGTCACACAGATTATTTAAAATTTGATGCCACCCCTAAAAAAAACCCTTTACAGATCATAAAAAGCAGGCATTCACCTTTTCTATAACTATGTGGTTGGATTATATTGAATGTATTCATCCAAAAGGCCTCTCTGCATTACAGTACAAACTCAGCATTGTTCAGCTGAATCTTGGATCATGCAGAACTTTTCTGAGGCTCCAGGCACAAGTGTTTTGGAGCTCCCTAGTATGAAGAAGTTAGTAACTACAGCTTGTCTATTTGGATGAAGCAACAAATTAAAGTTGTTTCCTAACCCAGGAAGTAAGTAATTGGTTCTAAGCATGCAAAAGGAGAAAGAAAGGAATAGGAGAAGGAGGTAAGGGCACAGCAGAAGCCTCATGTTCAGTCAGAAATGTTATTCATAACTGACTTCAGGAGATGGATGCAAAGAACTATGAGTAGAGTTCCGCTCACACTACTGATCTTTCCTGCCTCTCTCTGGAAAAGCTGCTTCGGAGGGCCAAACTAGACATTATAGCAACCATGGATTTGGCCTGTGGCCACTTGTGCCATTTTCGAGCTGAACTTGGCCATTTAAAAATGCAAGGAGAACCCAATCCTGGCTGGGTCTGCAACGCAGCAGGACCAACTGATCTTGACCTTCCTGCACATTTTCAAGTTCTGAAAAGGCTGCTCTTTTGATACTGGAAAAAGTGTGTGTGTGTGGGGGGGACACAATATCGCCTAGTCTCGGTGTGCTGCAAGCCCAATCAGAATTGGATGTACGCAGCACTTTTTAAAATGGCCAAGTTCAACTCTAAAATGGCACTGGCGTCCGTTTGTCAGACCTGCGGACTTTCTGTTTGGTCCCGAGAGTGTACAGATCCTTGAAAACAGGAAAATGCAGCATACACTGGGGGGGAGGGGGGGAGGTTGCGCTTTCAGTGCGAAATTCACATAAATTCTGGGCTCCTTAGGTGCATGAGCAAAAGTGTGTTACGATAACACAAAAGCGTTTTTGGATCCATCCTTCTGTTAACAAGTAGCTTCTTTATACTATGGCCTGGGTTCCAACCTTACTGCTGATGGAAGGGTAAAAACAAAGTTTGAGTCTAATGGCCCTTTTAAGACCAACAAAGTTTTATTTAAGGTATAAGCTTTGTGTGCATGCACACAAAAACTTATACCTTGTATAAATACGGTTGGCAGGTCCTGCCTGGCAGCTGTTGGGCGCTCCTGGGTCTGTTCCAGGATCTTCAGGCATGTGCATGAAGCGAGTGCAGCATGATGACATCACCCAGAAGTGACTTTATCACGTCACCGATATTGAGGTGGTGTGATGCTCTAGTTTTTGGGCAAAACTCTATGGTTTGTAGGCAATTTTATCATAGAGTTTTGTCCAAAAACAAGAGCATCCCTCCACGGCTTTGGCGATGTGATGATGTCACATCCAGGTGACATCACCACATTGCCTTTTGGGCCAGTTGGGGTTAGGATTTTCCCCCGTCGGCCAGCTGTTTGTGGTGGGGAAGCACCTCACGAAAGTGGGGGTTCCCCTGCCCCCGGTGGGGGTCTGGCAACCCTATGCATAAAACTTTGTTGGACTTAAAGGTGTCACTGGTCTCCAACTTTGTCCTGCTTCAGACCAACACGGCTATCCACCTGAATCTGTGTTAATGGAAGGATAAGCAGCTTTCATCAATCTCCCATCCAGGATGAGCAC